AAAATAGGAAAATAGTGTGTCAATGTAAAAGGACAAGAGTAAACACTAAATTTTCAGTTAAAGACGGTTCATCATTGAATTCAGTGATGTCATCGTCCAGCTCAGTTCAGTTTAAATTGTATCTGTGCAATCAAGTCGACGATATCGCTGGAAATTAAGTGTCCCCAACTAAGCAAGCCAGAGGCGAAAGCGGCAAAAGAACCAAAATGGAGAAAAAACCTTGGGAGATACCAGGCTCAGTCGGGGGGCCAGTTCTGCTCCGGCCAGACGAACCAGCAGGTTGATCCATGCTGCAGCAAAGTTAGATTGTGCAGAGGTTCTGTGGTCTTTTCCCGATGACCGTCTAGGAGAAAAGGTCTTCACTGGGGATCTGAGAAAGAAACAGAATAATATTAGTGTAGATGCCATTCTCTTTACGATGTAACAAGTACATCGTATGTTATTGGAAATGTTCCCAGTTCCGGTTGACCTAATTAATGCAGCCTAACAATCCTTTAATGGATTTGAGTAATAAAAATGTGTAAGTCAGTGCAGTGTTGACAGAACCGGGCTAATATGGTCATACTTCCTGGTTCTAGTAAGAACTCTAGCTGCTGCATTTTGGAACAGCTGGAGTTTGTTTATTAAGCATGCAGAACAACCACCCAATGCTTGTCATGAACGCATGAATTAGCGTTTCTGCATTTGACATTGAAGAGCATAGGTTGCAATTTAGATATATTTTTGAGATGGAAAAATGCAGTTTTACAAATGCTAGAAACGTGGCTTTCGAAGGAAAGATTGCTATCAAATAGCACACCTAGGTTCCTAACTGATGACGAAGAATTGACAGAGCAGCCATCAAGTGCCAGACAGTGTTTATTACATGTGGATGTTTTAGGTCCGATAATTAACACCTCTGTTTTTTTGTTTTTTTTTCAGAATTTAGCAGTAAGAAATTACTCGTCATCCAGTTTTTTTTTTTATATTGACTATGCATTCTGTTAGTTTTTCAAATTGGTATGTTTCGCTGGGCCGCAAAGAAATATAGAGCTGAGTATCATCAGCATAACATTGAAAGCTAACACTGTGTTTCCTGATGAAATCTCCCAAGGGTAACATGTAAAGCGTGAAAAGTAACGAGGCCCTCATACATACAATCCTCATTAAGACATCCAGTATTGGGAATAATTCAGCATATTGATTAGTATATTGATTACTTTCATGATTATACATAATATTTTAAGTAAAATAATACCATATTGAGTAAATAACATAATAGGTAATAGAATTACACAATAGTACTCCATACTGCACTCGATATGATACCTCTTCATTCACTGCTACGAATTGATGGCGGACAGATAAGTACTATTTGAACCATGCTAATGCACTTCCACTAATGCGTAACAGTTTTCTAGTCTATTCAAAAGAATGTTGTGGTCGATAGTGTCGAACGCAGCGCTAAGATCCAGTAGTACTAATAGAGAGATGCAACCACGATCAGATAATAAGAGCAGGTCATTTGTAACTCTAATGAGAGCAGTCTCAGTACTATGATACGGTCTAAATCCTGACTGGAAATCCTCACAGATACCATTTTTCTCTAAGAAGGAATATAATTGTGAGGATATTACCTTTTCTAGTATCTTTGACAGAAAAGGGAGATTTGAGATCGGTCTGTAATTAACTAGATCTTTGGGGTCAAGGTGTGGTTTTGAGTCTGCATTAGAGCCCACTCTAACCCCTGAATTGCCATTGGAACCCACTCAAACCCCTGCATTGGCATCAGAGGTTCAAGGTTCAAAGTTAATTTATTTATAAAGCACATTTACAAACAGCCACAAGACTGACCAAAGTGCTGTACATAAAAAAATCTAACCATAAACACATAAAACAGGAAGAATAAAACATATAAATTTAAAAGACCAAAAAGAATGACAGATAAGCATTCTGAAGACAGAGTAATAATCAAGACCATAATACAATGTAATGAGAAAGGGATATTAGTAGGCCAGATTGAACAAGTGTGTTTTTAAAAGGGACTTGAAAATAGATAGGGATGGTGCCACTCTAATCTGTAACGGCAGATTGTTCCATAACCGAGGCCCAGCCACAGAAAAAGCTCAATCCCCTCTATGTTTAAGTCTGGACTGAGGGACTAAAAGGAGATTCTGATCACTGGATCTTAGACTTCTAGTGGGTGTATAAAAATGCAACAGCTCTTAGAGATAACTAGGGGCTTGATTATGTAAAGATTTATACACCAGTAAGATAATTTTAAAATTGATTCTAAATTGAATAGGCAGCCAATGGATGGCCCTCAGTATAGGGGTGATGGCGTCACATTTGTGACTATTTTGAAGAAATCTAGAGCTGCAGCATTTTGGACCAATTGTAGTCGGGTAATTTGTGACTTTGAAATATCACAATATAATGAGTTGCAGTAATCTAAGCGTGAAGTGATAAAAGTGTGGACACCCATCTCTAAAGTTGTAACATTTAAAAAGTGTTTGATTTTTGAGAGCAAACGGAGTTGGTAAAAACTGGAACCAATTACAGAAGAGAAATGTTTATCCAATTTTAATGACTCATCAAAATGGACCCCCAGATTTCGCACACGATAAGATCTGAAGGCCGATAAGCTGCCCAGATCTGGATTGGTAGCCTGAGAATAATCAGTAGGACTGAACACAATCACCTCAGCTTTATCTTCATTTAAAGTTAAACATTTTTGTGCTAGCCAAATTTTTTACTTGTCTAAGCACCTTACTAAAGTACAAAGTGCTAAAGGATAATTTCTCTTAATACTGTAGGTAAATAAGTCTGGGTATCGTCAGTGTAAAAATGAAAAGACACCCCATGCCTTTTTAGAATGGAACCCAGAGGAAGCATGTACAGGGAAAAAAAGGGAGGACATCAATATCGAGTGTTGAGGGAGGCCGCAGGTGAGATGAGCAACGGAGGAAGAGAATTTACCTATTTTGACAAAAATGTTTTCTGTCTGATAATAATGACTGAAACCACTTAAGGACCGTACCTTTTAACCCCACATCTGACTCTAATCTAGATATCAGAATAGAGTGGTCCACAGTATCAAACGCTGCAGATAAATCTAAAAGAAACAGGACCACAGAATCACCAGAGTCGGTAGCTAAAAGGATATCGTTTAACACTCTGAGAAGGGCCATTTCAGTACTATGAGCAGATATGAAACCAGATTGAAAAATTTCAGAAATGCAGTTATGAATTACTAGGGGTGCGCCGATCCGATATTCAGTATCGGTATCGCTCCGATACTGGCATTTTCTGTTGGATCGGGGTGTCAGTCAGACGAGACCGATCCAAATCCGATATAGTGCGTATACTATTGTGTTATTATTAAGTCCCACGAAAGCCTCAAAAACATTATAAAGCACCGTAAAGTTTTTGTGCACTATATTTTAAGTGTTCTGAAGCTTTTCCATAGTTTAATGTGAGGTACAGATGAATATTTAAGTCAATTTCACGTAAACTCTTCTCTTCGCAGCGGCTGTCTGTCATCCTCCATTCAGCATTCAAACTGTGTGTCACGTTCGGTTATGACAGTCAAGATGATGAAACTCTCTCCAAGATGATTATATGTTCCTAATGTTATACTTGATCTGTAAATAAAGATAAATGGTTTTGCATAAAAGGAATTTATCTTGCTGGAGTTTCGTGCTGTTTCTAAATTGTGTATCTAATACACAAAATCTAATATCTGGTTAGATCACAAGACTGGAGTAGAGAGCACTATGATATCGGATCGATATCGGTATCGGCAGATACTCAGAATTTTTTATATTGGATCGGTATCGGTTCTGAAAAAGTGGTATCGAGCCATCCCTACGAATTACCTCATACCTGTGAGGTAATTCTAAATTGCCTATAGTTCTTGAGTCAGTACGAGAATTCCTCACAGACCGGTCTGTTCCAGAATACAATCCACTCCAGTGTCGGCTCCAGCCCCTGAGTCGGCTCCAGTGTCAGCTCCAGCCCCTGAGTCTGCTCCAGTGTCAGCTTCAGCCCCTGAGTCTGCTCCAGTGCCGGCTCCAGTGCCTGAGTCTGCTCCAGTGCAGGCATAAGCCCCTGAGCAGAGTCCAGTGCAGGCTCTTGCCTCAGAGCTCAGCCCAGTGCCCACTATCGTCCCCGAGCTCCGCCCTGAGATCCCTTTACCACTCTCCCTGTTATGGCGATGACCATAATGTGTGATTGGGCCACGCACTGTTCTCCTTCTATTGAAATGGAGGTCGTGTCCAAGTCTTCTGTATGTCCAGATACGACCAGGGAGGTCATTTCCCAGTCTTCTGTTTGTCCAAATACGACCATGGAGGTTGTTTCCCAGTCTTCTGTCCATCCTGATACGACCATGGAGGTTGTTTCCAAGTCTTCGGTCTGTCCAGATATGACTAAGAAGGTCATTCCCGAAGTTCCCGTTTGCCCTTATGTAGCCACGGAGGCTTCTACAGAGAAGCACGGAGGCTTCTTCCGTTCCCTCATCTTCTCTCTGCTGACCCTCCAGACGCCCATCTTTCAGCCGGCCCTCCAGTCGGCATTAAGTCAGCTGTTTCTTCCGTTCTCCATTAATCAGTGTCCCTTCCTCCCTGGAACTTCAACTCCTCCCAATCTTCTAATATCTGCCTGCAAAGATAAGAGACATTGTTCATTTTCATTTCACAGCTGATTTAAAGGAGTTTGTGGTGAGACTCACCTTTCTGGACTGTCTATGCCACTCTTCATCTGTTACGGTTACTCTTGTATATATATTTAACCAACACCAATGAGCACTAGCGTGTAAATAAACCAGTTCACTCACCTTTACTCATCTGTGCCTTTGAGTCTGTATTTTATGACATATTGAAGATACATCTCTAAAAATAATTTCTTACAAGACCTAATGCTATTCCTACAAGACACATTCTAAGAAATTAGTATTAAGTTTTTTTGCATTGCAAATAAAACATTTATTTTTTTATTTTGTTACTCTTCTTTCATGCCAGGGAAGCCCATTGTTCCTGCAGTCTTCTAAGAATGTGTCTGTCAACATCCTCAATGAGAAGAAGCAATTAGTATCTCAGCTTGTTGCAGGTGAGTACACAAATACCAACACTCTTAGGGTAAGAATCGTTTAAAACCCTCATGCAACCTCTTTGTGATAATTACAATTGTCTTGCTCAACAAAATTAGGCAGACTATAAATTGGAATGAAGATTTCTCGACCCATCTGTGGGTGTTTTTATTAGAGTAGATAGCATGAAATGAAATATTCATTGAGCTCAAGTGGCGACTATGGGCCAGTCCACTCACAGAAGGAAAATTAATCCAGGCAGCTAATGTTAGACTTTATAGGACATATGGTTAAATTACTATTTTGAAAGAGTTAAAGGGTTCTTTGATAGCCAGGTTGTTAGTCTCATCTCTCTCATGGTCTCATTTCCTTTATAACTGTGACTAGAGACTTCATTACAGCGCAGTAATTGCATGTGCATGGATGCATGTACTATTAAGTCCTGGTTAATAGTGTTATAGCAAGGCCATATTTTAATTAAAGTAATTTTGCTTAAAGGGGTCATATGACGTTGCTAAAAAGAACATTATGTTGTGTATTTGGTGTAATGCAATGTGTTTATTTGGTAAAAAAAACATTATTTTCCACACAATTTACATTATTGTTTCTCCTCTATGCCGCGACTTTCTGAAACGCGTCGATTTTTACAAAGCTCATCGTTCTGAAAAGCGAGGTGTACGCTGATTGGCCAGCTATCCTGTGCGTTGTGATTGGCTGAATACCTCAAGCGTGTGACGGAAATGTTACGCCCCTTACCATACTGTGATGCCGTCTCCCGGCACGACGAGACAAAACCAATAAAACCCATTACAAATGAGGCATTTGTTGCATCCAGTGGGGCATAATTACTGTGTTTTTACGCGTTGCGTATCGCGCCGCGTAAACATAAAACCATGTCTGCATTTGAGATTCCCTCAAAACATTGACAAACAACAAGCGCTACTCTACACTGCTTAAAACTCTCGTTTGAATCATCAGTGGCAAATTCTTTAAATATAAAAAATTTACTTACAGGCTGTGAGTCAGAAGCGCCAGACAGTCCTTGCAAAGTTGGAACTGCCCCAATTTGTAGAACAAGACTACACACTGAAATGCAATTTAAAAATATATATACATATTTTGGCAGGTTCTCATGGAGTTCATGCAAGAGGCAAAATGCTGGAGGTAAAATCAAGTGCAGGAAAGTTGCTCTTCTCTGCTGACGACAATGAGGTTGTAGTTGGTGCAGAGAGATTACGAGTTATGGGTGAGTGAACAATTACATTATAACACATTTCAGGGCATTTTTTATGCTCACACAAAGCCTTAGCCCTGTTCCCACAGAGTTATTTGGCACAGTCTATTAAGAGAAAGTAGCCTGTATGTATTTTTCTTAAGTATTTCCTTGCTTATGATCCTCACAGGGCTGCTTTTTTTTTATAGAAAGTAAACATTTCCCAGATATTATCTTATTATTATTATTATTATTATTGTTGTTGTTGTTTTATTGTTATTATTGTCAATTGTTTTAGGAACATATTGTATTTAAAATATATGTGTTCCCCAGTTATCCACAATTCCCTAATAGAATGTTGAAAGAATGTTGGCACAACCAAAAGGCCCCTCATACAGTATATATATTATTTTTATTTTTTTACTTTTTTTCCCCCACTGATTTATTTTAAGAAATTAAGAAAAACAATGATTTTTCAAGGTTGTTTTGTGCTGTATTTGATCACGGTGATATGCTTGTCTCAGGGGTAGCGCTAAACTTCCTTTAAAGTGATTACTCAAGCCTGTGTGTATCCATTTTTTCCCCCGATGATTTTCCCTAAGCCACAGTTCATTACCTTACATCCACTCTAGCTCAGCACAGCCTGCAGTGCGAACAGGGGCGTTTAGAATTGGATGTTTCTTTTTTGTATGTTATCTCAAGTGTTACTGGAGTGATGCCAGACATCTGAATTATTGTGAAGGAATTTGGCGGACCACACAAGGACGAAGTGCACATTTTAATGCAAGGCAAATCCTGTTACTCTAATGCTTAGATAAATGCCTATGTCTATAGATAATGCCTATGAGTCTATAGCTTAGAATCAGTCCTGAGAGCTCCTGTCATGTAATAGGACTATGCTTTAATGCCATAACAGCTGAGAGTGAGTCTAGGGTAAACACAACTTGAGCTGCCATCAAAAAGCGTCTGATCAACTTTATTAGGCAAAACACCTGTCACTCCAAGCAAGACTTATAAGGACCAATATTTGTTCTTGCATTCTTTCTGTTGAGCAAATCCTTTAAGAATGTGATTCATACGATGACTTGAATAAACCTGTAATTTCAGGTTTTAATTACATTTTAATATTTTTAGGGCATAGTTGATACAACCACCCTTATATTGTAATGAAAAAAAAATGGAAAAACATAAAATAAAGAAATTGAATAAAGTTTTGCATTATACATAACTTTAGTTTTTTCTTAGAAAGCAAATATTTTAACAAAACTGCTTTACTGCTTACTAATATTTGAAAACTTACTGCTATGCATGCATTCATAGTATTATATATGTATGTGTGTGTATATGTATGTAAGTATATTTAAAAACTTGCGTACACTCACATTTATTTCAAGCTGGGGTTTTGCATTGATTTTTTTTAGTTTGGTTACACCACAATTACATTTTTGTCTTGTTTATTGGGTATAGTACACAGAAAGATAGCATTTACCCCTATGTTTCCATAATTGTAATATTGTGATGTCATCTGGCTACTAGTACACGGGGTGTTTTCTAATGAACAAAAGAGTAAAGTTCCTTGTGAAACTTAAAAAGGTTCTGCTATGTAGCCCTTTTGCTTCTAATTTGGAGGCTTTATTTTTAACAGTGTATGAAAAAATACATGCAAACACATATACAGTCACAAAATGGGATGAATCATAGTTTCATAAAACATTCTTAAAATCTTTCCAATCTTAAAATCTTTCAGGACATGAAGAACTCTCACTGAAAAAAAATTGTTCTTTTCATTTACTCACTTTTCTTTCATGCACTTGTAATGCAGAGAAGAATCATTCCCAGCTGGAGACATTCGATTATAGTATTTTTCGACTCTTTCATTGTCAGTGTTGGCTCTGATACAAAAAGAATACAGAGCAAGGAAGGAAATACAAAATGTCTCACGAGCATTGGGGGAGCTGTGAAATTCAGTTCGCATTTTGTTCAACTCCACAGGAACAGCAATAAGAGCAAATTAGGACAAACCCTGCAATATCTGCTCAGGCTTGCTGCTTTATTTAAATGTGAATGCAAACACTGAACTGGAAAACCTCGACTATTTTACTGAGCCAATTATTATTATTATTATTTATTTATAATTTTTTAAATGAGACAATTCAGGAAAAGTGTCACCTAACCCAGAACAATGAAATGCCAAGCATTTGATTTTACTAATGAAAGGCTGCAATATTTTACACTAAGACCGATATGAGAGTTATTTATATCTAAAACAGTGATACAGCCTTTTCCCCTGGAGCATTATATTAGTCTGAGCTGAATGTTATTCCTCATTAATTTTAACAATCAGATGTGAACGGGAAAAGCAATTTGCTCCAGTACCAATGTCACTCCCAAGAGATGCTATGTCAAGCTTTGAGTCTCATAATGTATGAGTAATTAGGCCATATTACATTAAAATATTAGATGGTTTTAAAGAATGGCCATATGCAGCCATTGGTTTATTCACGTTTTTTCTATAATCTTTTATTTTATGGTTTCTGAGGGTGTAAAGAAATATTAAGGTTGAGACTAATAAAACTGCAAATTTAACCAGAGCAGAGAAATAATATGGCATCAATGTATGAATAAACTGTGTGTTTAAACTGTATTCACAGCCAGACAAAATCTGCTGACTTCTATTTTTAAGATTCTCTATATGGATTTTAGGGGGAAATTGTGGAATTCTGTGAAATTGATTAATAATGTGTTAACAGTCAAAATATGTAACACAAGAGTGGCAGGAATGTGTAGAACTTGTAAATGTTGGGAATTATGCGATGTTAAGCTTTCTATAATGACTCTTATTTCATCCTTACTTGCCATTTACTGTAGCTTTCACCTGCCAGCCATTATAAGTCATTCATTTGGGATCTTCAGGCACTGTATCACTTTATTACATGAATATATTTAATCAAACAAAGCACAGACTGCACAAAATTTTAACAGCATGATTTGTCTTCCTCTCACCAGTAAATTCACAGTTAGCAGCAGTCCGCAGGATAATGATATTAGCTGTCAGAATCTTTGCTCTAATTGAAATTAACATGCATTGATTATCCTTAATTATAGACTCACAGCAGTAGAAGTTGTTTTCTAGAAAATTAGTTTTTGTAATTTATTTTTACTTTATTTATTTTTTGTTTAATTTTGTGTATTGCAAAATTATAGATAGATAGATAGATAGATAGATAGATAGATAGATAAAATAATAATCAATTAACAGGATTTAACGTTGCCTGTAATTAAAGCTGCAAATTGAATCTATAGAATTTAATCAATTTGCAGCTTCTCTAAGGGCTTCAATCTCAATGCATTTGTTGGGATGATGGAGATTAACAGTCTGTGAAATGTGGTACAGGAGATTCCTGTAAAGAGGAAATATGGCCCCCACATTTCAGTTTTATCATGGCTGAATGGGAAATTTCCTGTACTGTGTGACCATTGGAATTCTGTCAGATGACCATGGTAAGCAGATGATAAAGTGTCTATAAAAGCAGATCATTTATGGTTAAGACTCTGTTGTACCCACACACGTAGACTGAGAAACCAGTGAAATAATTCAGCTTGTCTCTGGACACCAAGTAAGATTAGATTTTAGTTGAGAGATCATTTAGCCTTATAACAATCATATTCTCTGTGAGATATGATGTAAAGTTGGGTAAATTGAGGTACATATAGTGCTACATTGAACTATGTTAGCATGTCTACATGCATATTAGAATGTTCTGGCCAAATGACAAATTATGCGATAAACTTACTCAAAGTACATTGACAGTATAGCATAACAGCAGTTCCACCATTTTCAGAACTGTGTTGCAATTATCAAAATGCTCTGTTGTCCATCTTAGTTTGTAAAAAGTCAGATTCATTAAAAAAAAAAAAAAATGTTCATGTGAATAAATGGTCAAATAAATTATTCATAATTTAAATGTTTTGTTAAATTAATTTATATCCTTATTGGTTTTGTGCCAAATAAATGCTTTAATTGAAGAATAAAAAAAAAAAACGTATATGATGCGACCACATAAATGTCTCTGTAAACATGTCTTCTCTCCCAGAGGCTGTTCTTTTCTTTTTTGCCCAAATGCACAGACTACTCACGTAGTCCAGAGCTTCATGCTCACTGTAGCAATGACAAATGGCCCCATTGCAGATGATGTTATCTCCCTAACGGAAGGTCTCTTCATCCAAGCACGTGCTACGTTGAATGTATTTTTTGAGGTTGCCTCAATAAACACATTATCTAGAATGGAAACATGAACAGACGTTGTAGCGGTAAACATCCTAGGACTTTATTTAGTTTTGCTATTTTATTTAAAAATCCTACACTCCTACTTTCCAAACGGACCTTTGATGTGACCTCTGACAATTAATTGCCTAGATATTGCTTATCACTTGGTTCTAAATGCACTGAACTGTGGTGCTAACACAAGAAATGCAGGATCAAATCTGGCCCATTTTTGAATAAATAAATATAAATTACATTTATTTTTAATTTAATTATTAGCTCTTTAAACAGTAAACATATCATTCAGGTTTGAGTGCAATAATTAAACAGCATTATATTGTAGAAGATCAGATATTAAATGAATAAACATGCCACAACAATTAAAACAACATTAAAAATAAGATAAAACAGTGTATTCTTGTTATTCCTTCAGCAGTAACTTGAGCAGCATGCCGACATCAGCAATGCTGACAATCACCTTCCTCATATAATGTGGCACCTTAAAATAGAAGATTACACACATGGTAGGTTATTGTGTAAGACTAAATAAACCGTTTGAAATACTGATGTTTATTGTCAAATTAAATTAAATTAGGGGTTCAAGCGCATAGCTCTAAAACCCTATTGTAATTGTACAGATTTGTATTATTATTATTATTATTATTATTATTATTATTATTAGTTACATTTTCTGAAAATTTGTGACCGTTTGTTGACAATAATGCAAGCGGAAATTTGATTACATTACAAATTGAATAAGTCTCTCAGT